CGACAGTGTTTCACAAAAAGAGGGATAAGAAAACATTAATGTAACAGCTGGAGAGTGTATAGGGAAGACAATTAGCTCCTTAACAATAGGATTACTATATTGAAATTAACTTCCTGTCACAAAATTGCAAACCACCCAATTTTAATTATTCACAACTCAATATGGGTATAGATCTCTTCTTTCTGCGATTTTTAAAGAAGAAGTAAGCTTTTTTTTTCCTTATTTTTAAATAACATACATCTAAGAATACTACACTTAAAGGCATACAGGAAAAAATATTATTGAATGTTTATAAAAAAATAAATCTAGATCTATTTAATTAATGGCAATCGTATCCTTAATGTGAAGTCATTAATGACGAAAATTCTTATAATAATGATCTGGTTTTATATAGCGCTGTCACATCCGATATTTAATGAAAGGAGATTTATGTTTATATTTTAAATAATCAGGGGCGGATCTAAGGGAGGGCAGGCGGGGCTACAAAACCGGGATCCCCACAAGAAAGGAGCCGCCACAAAAGAAAAATACGTTTCGATGTGTAAGAAACTTATAAGTATATTTTCGCATTTTTAACGCCAACACTTTAAATCTTACGTCGGTTGGCAACACTGTCGTGATAAAGAAGTGTCTGCTTGTGGCATGCTCGTAATATATGAAATAATGAATGCCGTTCCGGATTTACGACAGTGCGTCTACCAAGGGCCTTACCCTCCACAAACTCAAAATATATGCACTCTTTAAAACTAAAATATGCGTATTAAATGTTTTAAAAAAAAATAAATGAAATGAAATTTTGCATGTTTTTAAATATAAGTATTTTTATCCATAAGTGGATTATTATTAAAGCTTTTGAAAAAGTATAGGGGCCTTCGAATACTTAAATCCAGCCCTGTAAATAATGGGTCATGATTTGTTCATATAAAAGTCGTTTTTTTTTACTAAGACAAAGCAAAGGGTTTTCACATTAAATAAGTGCCTCTCTAACCGTTATTCTTTCTCTCATCTTTAAATGGAATGGGTTGCCTGAGTCAGCCAGGAAAACTAACGACTTAACAGAGTTATAGGCCGTCATCCACATGTATGACTAGATTGACACATGAAATACGTATGACGTAATAATCTCTATTGAGGTAACGTCTATAAGTATTACCAAAGCGTTTCCAAAGCACTTAATAATATTTTCATTTCAAACTCATTAAGGCTGCTATTGTACTGTTCGTGATGAATTAGGCTACCGTGGCCCAAACCAGATTCAGTTTAGTAGCTAATTTCGGCGTTGCGGGTTCAAACTCGGGGCCGTCGTGAGGACAATCCCACGCGCAGAAAGCGTGACCAGCCACATTGAGGATGTATGTAGTAACCCGAGTGACAGACGTCAATTTCCAATATATTCTACAGTTACACGAACAAGCAAAATATTTTTAAAAATCCTTTTAAAAAAAAAAAAGTCTAAGAACTCCATCCTTAAAACTATATCAACCTATAATGTACAAGTTACATCCCTTATTCGATATCAAACAAACATAATCAATTACCAATAATAAATTAACTAATTGAGTATTTCTTTTATTGATTCACGTTTTGTAAGGTACAATCATAGACATAAATATATATGTCTATGGGTACAATAAATAATTGTGTAAAGAATCAACTTGGTCAGAGAATGCGTGAGGAAGAAATAGAGTTAACACTTATTTAAGGGGACTAAACCAAAAAATGTTAGCCATATCTGTGAATACTGAAGTATTAGTTTCCCTGGTTGCTATTAATTAAAATAATGATTAACAAGTAATTAATTGTCTAATCGGTTACTTAAAAAAAAATTGATTCATGTTTTGTCTATGTCAATGAAAAATTGTGCGAAGTTTCAGCTTGATCCGAGAATAGATGTAGGAGATATAACGTGTCGGGCCTATAAACTTTATACTAGACAGACTGACAAACAGACAGAGTTGATATAAGCTTTGTAATAAACAGTGTTTCACTAGAATCCTCAGATTGTTGTACGACCGAGGAATGACAGCTCCCTAAAGATTCTTGAGGCTTTTTTTAGTAACGTCGTTTGCAAATCGCACAATTTAGCAACACTCCAAGACTTACATTTACAAGAGCAATAAGTCTGTCTAGTTGTGTGACAGGGCCTTAGGTAATATGAGGCCCTAATTTAAGTGAAATGAGCTTGGTGGCCCCAAAATGAAAAAAAAAATAGATAGGACCAAATTAAAAATGTGATGTATTAAAAACCTTATCTATTTCTAAATCAACATAAAATGATAGTAATTCTTTTAACTTTTTTTTCTCTTCGTATCGATTAACTTGCGTTCTTCAATATATTAGCACTCTTCAATATATTAGCAATCTTCAATATATTAGCGTTCTTCAATATATTAGCGTTCTTCAATATATTAGCGTTCTTCAATATATTAGCGTTCTTCAATATATTAGCACTCTTAAATATATTAGCACTCTTCAATATATTAGCACTCTTCAATATATTAGCACTCTTCAATATATTAGCACTCTTCAATATATTAGCACTCTTCAATATATTAGCACTCTTCAATATATTAGCGTTCTTCAATATATTCGTGCGGATGTCATAAGCCTACAATAAAAATACACTTTTCCTGCTTACGTGGCACCAACGTCTCAAATAAACATATTAATTATTATTAATTAAAAATTGCCATAGGCCAGTGGTTGGCAACATGCGGATCGCGAGCCACATGCGGTTCTTTTGGATGTTAAGATGCGGCTCTTTAGTTACATACGCAAAAATGATTTATTTTATCGAAAAAAAAACAAAACAACATTTAAAAATCGTTCTGATTATTAGGCACCGATTCTATATCTCCGCGTTTTGTATTCGCTTTTCAGCCCACCCCTCCCACATGTCTTCAAATGTAACATTTTTGCAAGTGGAAGAATTCAATTTTCTTCTGCCTTATCACTTGCCACAGATGAGTCTTGCGACATACAAGACACGTCACAAGTTAAACTTTGTGTCACATATATATCTTCCCAAGGTCTAAAGGAAACAAGGTTTGCTACCACTCTCGTGACCAACTAGAGGTGAAAATAAAGGGAATGGAAAGAAAAAATTTTGTGGCTGTTTAAAAAAACCTTGAAATTGTGTAAATTTTGGACTGTTCCGACTCAAAAGATTGCCGACTCTTGCCAAAGACTTGAATGTGATATGTTGGCTTTGGTCTGTATCACTTGAGCCTGCATCTCAGTAACGTGCCCAGGACTTCTTCATGCAAATTTACATATTCATTGTGTCCTTCTATGGCCTTCCGATTGGGAAGCAAATAGTGAAATATTCTTTATTCTAATACTTCTGAATGTGGTAGCGGCTGATGAGTAACGAAATTTAATAAAGCGCCTCTTTGTGTTGTAAATTAATTAAATGAAATAAAGACCCTACTTTTTTTGACTAAATTTATTTTATGTCTTGTGTCTCGTTTACAAAAAAAAAAATAATAATTAAAATCATTATTAATCATGCGATATTATAAAGTGATCAAGTCGTGTAGTGTATTTTTGGGATTCCTCAACATTACACAATAAGGGAGGGAAGTACTGTGTTAATGGACTCAAATATAAAATAGCATGCACTCCCCTTGTTGTTATTTTTTTAATAACCTAAGAGGGTCATGTCGGCAAATTGTGTTCAGATCAAAGTGCCCGGATGACTACGAACTGTCATTATTAAAAGTCGGGGATACTTTCTAAACGTGTTTTATGGTAACGTTATTTTAAGCTTTTTTAGCAGCAAGTAAATTACTTAGGTACTGAACATATAGACCTAGCCTAGGTCTTTATTTTAATATTTTCTTTAAAAACCTTTAGCTCATTATAGCCATGTAAATGAGTTAAAAACTATAGATATATAGATAGGTTTCTTTATTGAGGGTATTTTTCAGTCTTTGCAAATGTAACACTGCTTTACGAATTTTTCCGCATGAGGCCGATTCTATTTATGGTATCAGAACATGGTTTTACTTACGAGCCATAATATATATGATTATATCTTACATTTTAATAGTGGTGAATTAGACATATAACATTATCTAGATGATAGTAGTAGATCTATAGGTAATTACAAATTATGACTTAGCTTTTATGATTTTAATAAAAAAAAATTTATATACATCTAAAATATCTAGATCTATTTAATTATATATTTAGATCTAATAATATATGATATCATAATTTAATAATAATATATGATTATAAAATATAATATATCAATATATGATCATTATAATATAAAATTATTAAAATTATATGATAAAAGTTTTTCTGCCTTTTTATAAAAATGAAACTGGTGTAGATGTATATAGAGTCTAGATCTAGTAGACAATGGACTAGTCTACTCCCTAGCCCTAGTTAAAGTAAAGTTTCTAGATTTCATTTACATCTAGTAGAAGTGTCCCTATAACTCTATAGATTTATTTCGTTAGACCTTGATATATATATATATGTGTTACGTCTTCATATTAGATGAGACTCTTTAGACATGAAAACGACAAATCACCGTTTATAAATACTTTAATCTTTATTAACACTAAAAACACTTTCTTGTTCATATTCCTCCATTTTGATTCTCCTTTCACTTTCAACACGCATTCGCACCATTTCACATTTACACTAAGATGCGCACGTATATATATATATATATATATATACATCGATAGTCAATAGCCTTACTAATGATAAATATAATTTTCTTGACATGTATGGTAAATAATCTAACACCATTCAGTCCCATAACAATAGCGCTATTAATACTATTAAGACATTTAAGATCAACTTTATATAGATTTATTTGAATTCTTGATTGTACGTACAATGTTATAACACTTATAACCTGTGATGCCAGAAGGTCATTAAAATGTCCAAAATGGACACATTACATCACATCCAATATTTTTCTTCCTTACATTAAAAAAAAAATTAATATGACAGATTCCTGCACTGTGAACAGATGTTTGAGTGATTGGATAGTTCTGCATCACGGGGGCATGATATGTCACACAGTGCTGTTTGTTTGGATGTCACTGTTCTCAACTCTTATTTCCCCTTTTGTTTTAAAGTCTATAAAAAGTGGCTAAATATATAATAATGATTTTTTTTTCTCATCCAGATTGTTTTTAAGGAGAAGTAAAAAAAAGATGATGATGCAAGTAGATCGAGGTAAAACTGTTCCTGAGCAGCAGTACCTGTCGTTAAAAGATATTCGACCAGGAATGAAGAATTTACACATCATTTTTATTGTCTTAGAAGTTGGTAAGTAAAGAAAAGAATTTTAAAAATAACTGCTACTCAATGCTACCATTGTCTTGTCATAGTTGCAAAATAATTCTGCTTTTGTTTGACATATTGGGAGATATATAGGGTCAGTGTTTTTACTGGGCCAGGGTAAGGTCAGTGATTTTACTGCGTCATGGCTTTTAAAAAAAACAACAACCTCCCTCTAAAATATGTCTCCTCTCAAAGACAAAACCTATTAACAGATTCCAGCATATAAAGCTAAAGTGGCTAATAATTTTACCTTTGTTTGACTGGTTAAGGTTTTTTAACATAACATTGAGGAATGAGTTATTTCTTTTTCAGTATATTTCATGTCTCAAATCTTATACACTTAAATAATTGTAAAAAAAAACATGTGTTTGATGGAATTATCCATGTAACAATTAAATAACAAATGAATATTCACTTTTTACTAGAGTAAACACAATTAGTAAAATCACTAAATATAAAGACATTTTAGCGCAGAAGACTGCAAAACTAAAGTAGCAATAATATATAAACACTGAACCATTACTTACAATTTACACAAAAACATAATAAATACTCAAAAAGACACAAAGATAAAAGCACATTTTTTATTCCATATGCTAGGGCAACAATTAAAGCATGGAACAGGTCTGAATCAGCTAAGGGAAAACCAATGACTTAGATGAGTTTAAGTCACTCATTAAAATGCATGAATAGATTAACACATGGAAACGCATAGGATGTAATTATGTTTTCGAAAGAACTATGTAATTGATAAGATCAAAGAAGAAAGCTGCTTTATTTGAATGATTTCAGGCAAACCAACAAGAACCAAAGACGGACATGATGTCAGGTCTTGTAAAGTGGCAGACAAGACAGGCTCCATGAATGTGTCAGTCTGGGATGAGGCTGGTCATGTGATACAGTCAGGGGACATTTGTAAATTTTTAAGAGGGTATGTCTATTTAGTTAAATAATGTGCTGTAAAAATCTAAATTACCTTTCCCTAGCTGTAATAACTAAATTTTAAATGAAAGTATCTTTGGCATTTTTAAAAAATAAAATCACTATATGTTCTGCTTTTCATAAAGATGAGAAATGGTGAAATGTATGGCTTGGCTACCTATCAAGGGGGGACCATACTAGCATACATTCAAAATCCATCATGATGTGAGTTGTGTTTACTGCGCGCCTAAAGGCAGCACTGAAACCTTCTCCCAGATCCCTCTACCCCTGCAGATTCACAAAAGAGTTTGGCCCATAGTGCACAGAGCAAGCTATTGAGCATGAAAGATGCACTTTTTATACTAAAAGCAATTTTAAAAATTAGAACCAGTAACACTTGCTCCTGAAATTGCTAGCCATCTGCAGACTTGAAAGACTATCTGCAGACTTGGGAGATTACCTAGAGCTCTCTTTTAACAAAATATTGGTAGACTGGATACTGCGGTCACTTTTCCTATTCATCAAAGCTATTTAGATTTAGAACTTTGATTGTTCAGTAATGTGTACATTTTCATATAGATCAAAGCTGTTCATGCAAGTTGAAGATAACGATTAATTTTTACATAGTGCATGTAATGTGTGATTGAGTGACATAAACTGCTTGGCTACCTATGAAGGGGATTTCAGTTCAAATTCTGACTTCAACCTAAGTTGTGTTTTCTTAAGGCAGCACGGAAAACTTTGTCCAGATACCCCCTTTCTCCACTGGTCCACCGAAGAGATTAAAACATAGATAGCGCATTGAGACTGCTATAAAATGAAAGGTGTGCTATGCAATAGGCATTTTTAAAAATTGTGCTGAATTGTCTTAAGTAATTGGTTGTTATTTTAACATCAATGTAGGTTTGTCATTTTGAAGTTAAACTGTGATTTTTTTTCTAAAATATTTCTTTGTGTGCAGTACAGTAATATAAAAATGGATTCATTTCTACTTTAAGAACTGAGACTTTTTTTCTCCCTCCAGTTATGCTTCACTATGGAAAGGTTCACTAACTTTGTATACAGGAAAAATTGGAGAAATTTTGAAAATAGGAGAGTAAGTGAAGTTTTGATTTAATTTTTTTGTTAGCTCAATGCGAGTGTGTTCATTTAATACAACAATGCTTAACAATTCTGTTAATACAATGCTTTGAACTCAATAAATTATTCTATTATTACTTAGTTTTTTTCACTTAATACAATACTTTTAACTCAATATTATTCTGTACTATTACCAAAAAAACAACATTTTTCTTTACATTTTCAGATTTTGTTTAAATTTCATAGAAATGCCAAACTTCAGTGAACCCAATCCAGAATATTTAAAATTAGTAAGTAGTTTGTTTTCTAGAACTTTCATAGGGGCGTAGCTAGGAATTTTTCATCATTTGGAGGCCCGGGGGGTCTTGACCTCCTTGGGGGAGCCCTGCATTTTGCGCAATATTAAATTTTTGATGTAAAACACTCATTTGAGGGGGCCCGGGGGGATTTTCAAATTCTCCCCCCTCCTTCCCCCACCCTAGCTACTCCACTGAACTTTCAATACGTTTTTATATAAAAGCCAGACTTTTAACCCAAAAATTCCAATTGTGCTGATGGACTTGAGAATTGTAATGCATAATCTGTTGATTATAAAGAAGTTAAATCTTTGTACAATATACTAAAGGAAAGGGAACTGCTCAGATTGTAACATTATAGAAAACACATACCTTTATTTTTTGTTTCATTTTTAAATGCTTGTTTTTAGTCCTATATTAGTGGGTGGAAGGGATATTGTGTTATTGATCAGAACTCATTGGTTATGTTGAGCTAGCCATTAAACTGTCTGTAGACATTACTGACAATCACTGTTCAAATGTTACAGTTCCTTTTCTCCTTCTAGAGCCAGAGTCAGGCTACACTTGTTTTGTTTTGCATGTTTCCATCAGAATTGAAGATCATTGCATCCTAGCTCAAACCTCCTGTGGTGGGGAGTGGCTGATAACAGGGTCCGAAACCTGAACCACAAGACAACGCAACCATCCATTTAGTATCCTTAAGTTGAAAAAAAAGAGAAAAAAAAAGTTTTCCTTTCAGACCTTGTGATCTATGGGGCAGATGATGTAAAGGGCATGTGTTTCTTTGGCCAACGGTTAATGAGCAGGGTGCCATGTAGGCAGCACTATGACCAAGTTCCTTTACTTTCCCCAATGAATGTCAGGTACCCATTAGAACTGGGTGGACTCAGAGGCGCCCAAAGATCCTTAAGTGAAAATATTCCAGTCTTTGCCGGATTTCGAACTTGGACTGCTCAGCCACCATGCATCTGAAGTTGATTGTATCGACCAATAATGTAGATGTTGTTGTGGGTTTCATCCCCATATGGGTCATTTTCTTTTTGTCCAATCTGACCTGATGTAGATCTGATCACATCTGATCTAGATTCAATTTGATTTGACCAGATCCAATCCGGTGACTTCAGAACTGATCAGAGCCTATTCCCAAAAAATAGAGTAAGAATTGTTTTTTAAAAAAATAATTTTTCTTATTACTTGTTTCATTTTCATTTTTGTTTTTTTCAAGGAATCTGCACAAAGAAAATCTCCAACAGAAGGGGAGGGGAACCAAGGTGCCAAAGTTGATGGTCAACTGAGTCAGGTGGCTCAGGTCCAGGGAAACAGACCACAGCAAGCTCCTTTACAGTCAGGTAATAATGTTAGAATTTACGACAGTCCAAAATTTTGTTTTATACATTCTGTCTAGATACCAGTATAGTGGTGTAGTTTATTTTTATATTCTGTGGTTTAGAAACTTTCTTTGATCCTTGAAAGATACGTAGCCTACAAGAAAGGAAAGTTTTCAATTAGAATTTTGTTCTCTTTTGAATTGTTGATCACAGCTAACAAATAGTATATATCTTGAAGCTCACCCCCTCATCATTTTAAAGTTAGGATTTTGAATAACAAGTTGAAAGCCTACACAGCTAATGTGTTTAATAATAGCTATGAAATACTTGTTTTATTTTGTGTATTAGTTTTGCTATTAAACCATTCTGAAATCTTAGTTTTGCTATTAAACCATTCTGAAATTTTACACTTTTTTGTTGCAGGAAATGGTCAAAACAACTACAACCAGCAGAGAGCACCGCCCCCCCAGCACCGTCCACCATCCCAGCGTAGCAACATAATGAATGGTACTAACAACACTAACAACACAGCCAACATGGCAGCTGCAGTCAGGGGAGGCAGGGGAGGAATCAGGAGATAACATCACACTTCACGAATATTTATTCTCTTAAAAATGATTTCTTTATTTAATTATTTTAATGTATTTTGTGTTTTTTTTTTAGTGCGTGTTTTTAAAAATTATTTTGTGTTAAAGCATTTCCACAATTTAGTCTAAAAGTTATGAGTGTTGGTTGGATGTACTGAGATGATGTAGTTACCCTTAAGCCTTGTTTTATTCATACTGAAATTGTATGAAACTTTTGAATCAGTAAATACTGGTATATAATATAATATTTATTATGAGGTTTGACTTAGGAATCTATTATTAGACAAGTCAAGTTGTCAGCCTTTTTACTTTAGTTCTGTCTAGTTCAAGTGGTAATTTTTTTTCCCCCCTAATTTTCCACATTCTTATTAGTCTGTTATTAAAGACATGTAATTATTGTACGAGTTGAGTCAAAGACTCAAGTGCTTTCCTTTGAGGGCCTGTTTTAGCACTTGTCTGAAAAGGATCCAATCAAATGCAAATTTGTTGCACCTCTGTTTCCAGGGGCTTGTATACCAAGATGTTCAGGCTAGAGGCAAAGCCGAACACTGAAAGGAAATTTACCTGTCGTTATCCTTCTATGCACGATGGAGCTGTGCCGGTGTCCTTCATAAAATGGCCCATTGAGGGGGCGGGGGTCAGGTATTGCTTCCTTAAGTGTCTTCTCTACCAGTTGAAGCCTTGTTAGGTCAATACTTTCTCCATAATTAGTGGGGTACTACCATTTAGAAACTGAACTTGGTTTTGAAGTGTTGCCTCTCCTAACTGCTCAATCACTATGTCATGAGGACTGCATCTGTTGACTCAACTGCCTGTTCTGTGTTGTCATTTAGACCCCTACATTCTAAAGGTATTTTTTTTTCGCAGATTCTCAAACATTTACATGTCATGTCTCTCAAACTTCCTACCCCCCGTATAAATTTAGTTTGATTTCATCTGGACTTCAAACTAGGAGAAACAGTTGTTGGAGAATAAATGTCTAAGTTCAGGATGCAGGAAAACTATTGGGCATCATACTAACCCCATTACTGGAGGGTGGAATCTGTATGGTTTAGTAGGCACTATGAGCAAAAGTTTGAGAAGCACTGCTCTAATGGAATGAGGTAGAGCTCTATAGCTAAGTCTGTAAAACTTCAAATAATTTTTCCTACACAAACCATCAGACTGAATGAGGACATTATCTCCCTTGGTTATCTTTGTTCATGTCAAATTATCTCCCTATTTTTTTCTGTTGTACATGTTAAGTATGTTCATATAAAGACAGTTAGGGTTTGAAATTTACAACTGTTATAAAGACAAATCTCAGAATGTGTTGAGGTTTTTTTTTTTTAATCATGATATTCATGTACATAATTTGTGTATGTTTTCCTGATAGAAGTGGCATCTCAGTATGTGAACGTGAGAAATACAATCACATTAAATGTAGACACTATCAGAAATTACCCTAAAAGAAAGTTTGAATATGTTTCTGGCAATGGTTAAAAAAATATATAATTTTAAAAAATCTATTTTTTGCTTTGTGTTTGAATTGATAAAAAACATTTCTTTGTAATATTTTTGTTTTGATTAATACTATTCAAATGTGAAGTGTTAAAGACATCTGATTGGAAATGCATTGTATAGCTTTTCTACTGGCTGTATGTTGTCAAGTCCTGATTGTAAACTAGTATTTGCTGTACATAAGAACTCAAGGCATTATTTGTAAATACCAAGATTTGATTGTCTGCTGGTGAAACATTTTTTCTGACATTTTTGTTTTCCTGTCTTGTCAGTGAATATGAATGTCTGGTGAGATGTCTTCACATTATTGTAACTTTTAATGATCAAAATGCTGCCTTGCCTTTGAATGCTAAGTTTATTTCAACATTTTAGTAGATGTGACAGTGATAGGATGAAAGAAATATTTTACTGGTTTCAACTTTATGCTTGTACTGCTTGTAGTTAGTATTTATTTGTATAATAGTGATTGATGTTACATTCAAACTGCAGATTTAGAATAGGATTAGGATGTACTAGTATACAAAATAATTTTATTTTAGTATTTAAGCTTTATGAATTCTATTGGTTCTTACAAAGTAAAATTTCTCAAGACCTAATAGTACAGTTAATGTGCCTAGAGTGTATACATAATTTTACTCTCTCGCCATGTCTTATATTCTTTATTTCTTCCTGGATACATAAATCTAGTCGATCTTATTGGCTAGGCAATAAATCTTACTGGTTAGACAATAATCTTACAGGCTAGGCATTAGATTTTACAGGCTAAACAATAGATCTTACATCTTGTGTTCTATGGCATCCAAAAATAAAAATTAACAAGGGTTTGTATCATTTGTTTTTGTTAGGTGAATGCTCCAAGAAATTTAGGGCACAGACTGGAGATGTATGTGTTTGGACCTGAGACTTGTGTATGTGAGTGGTCTTGCTTCTGTTATCTGTGACTTAAGCATTTCATTGATTTGTCTTTCTGTGGTCAACACAAACTGTATGTACATATTTTTTTTTTTTGTTGCTTTTTACTGAAGAGTCAATTGTCATGAGCAGATGTTGATCTTGTTCTATGAACAAAATACACTCAACATTTCTAGATCTTCAAGTTGTTATTGTGTACTTTGTTGATTTCAATGTCAAAATATTTTAATAACTATCCAAATTATAACATTGAATAAAAGCCTAAAACCTTTCCACCACTAAAACAAACCAGTTAGGAGTAGAGGTTGGTATTCTAAATGATCTGGGGCTACAAATGAACTATTTGTATTAAATGCA